TGTAAATTTAAAATGTAAATATCTATTCACTGATGGTTGCAGCAGACAAGCCTCAATTTTCTTATTGAATATTTTGTATGCTACTATGTGAGTTTTAATACCAAACTTTTTAAAGTTTTATATCTTAACAATTCGATATCTGTTGCACTTTAATTGTTCAATACATTGGTGCACATTACAGTTATTGTAGCCCAAATTTTTATTATTTATTTATTATTTTTTTAAATATTATTAATAACAATTAAATATTTTTAAAAATATTCTTCTTATTTTAATTTGTAACTCAATACTTTTGTTTTGTACAACTTGGTGAAAGACTGACTGTAATATTTAATATTCCTTCAAACATGAAAGAGTCCTACATAAAATGTTGATAAAGTTGCGGCCCGCCATTTGATTTGTGTTTTTAATTGTGGCCCCCGGCCTCATGTAAGTTGGAAACCCCTGTTCTATACGGAGACTACTCAACATGTAAAGGTCAAAAATCCTAATCCTCTCGAAAAAAGACGAATCGCTAAATGATAAGGTGCTTTCAAGTCTTATTTTGCAGCCCACGATATCGCTCATGGGCTGCAATAGCGGCACAACTCAAAACATCAAGTTTTGAGATAAGTGGGCTTAAAGTTTTCATTGCTAAGCAAAATGCATAAGAAATGCTTTAGTGTGCTTAAACGAAGATTACCTTCAAGTTGAATTGTGGGTTGTGCTAGTATTGCTGCTGAAAGAATGTGTATTTTCATCTCGTATTTGCACCTGTTCTTTGTCCAAAACGCGTGTTTGAGTTGTGCCACTATTGCAACCCATGAGCGATATCATCTACCCAAATTTACTCAAAATATTAAAACCATTACTCAAGCCATTAAGATTATCTCACAGATCCAAAGATATTAACACGTTATGTTTTCCATTTTGTACACTGTGCATTTCTTTATTTCATTTAAGTTCCATATTTACAGTCCAGCGGACGTAGTCTTAACCAAGGTTTGATGACCTATGTTTACAGCCGAGTGTCTCACCGGACTAACTTCTCTGATTATATCTGACTGGTTCGGAATCAACTTTAATGCCGTGGATTATTTCAGAGATGGAACAAAGTCTGTGTATGATTTGGCGACAGGCGAGTATGATGCGGAGGATAAGAATTTACTACCACCATTTTCAAAGAATTTATCTGTCCTCCCATCTAGCTTATCACAGCGTAATGTGCGCATGCGCCATTATTATGATTGGATCATCGTTAGGAATGAATTTCAGACCGTCGCTAATGTTTAATGTATGTCTATTGCAACATAGGCTAAAACATAATTATTTTTACATTAAATTTTACAAGTACCATTTCTACTGCTACTTTTTATCCTTTCAGCAATAAGGCATCCAATAAAATCTGACAGAATTTCAAGATGTCTTAAGGCACTTTATTTTTTCAACAACAGGAAACAAATTAAAGTTGTGAACTTTTTTTATATTTAACTTGAATGCCTTCAAAAAGTACAGCTTGAGATTTATTCGACCAAGTTTGCGACCAAAGCGAATTCTTACTCCAATGTTACTCTCAGAACATTATGATAAATTGAATAAACTTTGTAACAAATGTCTTCTAAGCATGCTGTATAAGAAATATTAACAGCATAAAGAAGAATAAAGAAGAAAGGAAGAAAATATACAAAGATAATGAATCAAAAAGAATATTAAAATATATTAAAATAATATACATTTAGAGTTTAAACAGAAATACTAATTGAGATTATGAATAAACAAATATGTTTTCAAATTGTTGCAGCTGTTATAATTTTATAAAATTGTAATAATGCTAATTTAATGTTAAAAAAAGATAAAAGATAATGGAAAAACTAGAATATATTTCAATGGTAATAATAGTTGATTAACTCATTAAGTTTTTCAACGTAGGCATTTTTTACATATTGCATAAAATTATTTTCTCCGGAACAAAAAAAAGACATAACAGAAAAAAAGTCTAATTAATGATTATTATGGTGAATGTTTAATAATTTCAAATTAAAGTATTCTGTACTAATTTTTGTATACATCCCTGAAAGCATTCTTAATGGATTATATTTATCAACATTTTTATTCCCAGCTATTTTGATTTTAGAATCAAGGAATTGTAAATAAAATTTACGAAAAACTAAGCCCTTTTTCTACTGTCCATCCATTAAAATTCTTTTTAAAATATTTTTCTACTACTCGATCTGTCTTTGTCAAAAAAAAAATAGAAATTAAAACTAAAGTTGTAAAAGGAACAATAGAACTTTTTTTAAAAGCAAGTATGACAATTATTTACTTAGAGAAGAAACGAATTTTTGTATTTGTTCTAAAAGCTCTTTTACAGTTTAAAAAAATTATCTTTTGAACATTTTTACGTATTCATTACTTCGTAAAAACAAAGTTGGTGGAAAAATTACCCAAATATCAAATATAGAGTTTTTGTTTAAAATAATTTTTTTTTTTAAAAATACATCTATTTTTCAACTATAATTCTTCTTTTAACACTCTAAACTTTCAAAACATTATCTGAAAACTTCATTATTTACTTGTAACCTTTTGAACTTAGCTATTGTAATATTTTTATTTAGAAACAAAGTTATGCACTAAATATAAAGATATAAGAGTTAAATACTGACTAAATAATACTTAAAAAATAGTTAAGAAACCCAGAGTTATTTCACTACAATGTACCATCGTTTTCATCAGTACCCGTTTGAGAAAGATTTTAAAAATAATCGCTCGCAATGCGAGGCAATCGTGAATTAAATCATCCAAATAATCAGAGGCTGAGCTTGATTTTTCTTAGAATTGTAAGTCAAATTTGTTTGTCATAGTCCAAACTTGTTTTTGGAAACATAGTTATAAGTTTAAGTTGCATGAAAAAATTTAGAAAATGCCTACACAATTTTACATTGCAAAATTCTATTTGTTTGTGCGTGCAAATATATAAAATCAATTTCGCTTGTAACTCTGAATGCGTAAACATCTTTCCATAAACACCATATTTCCATAAATAATCACATATTTCACGAATTTTATGCTGTAAAATAGTACAAATGCTGCGGAACTACTTTTTACTTTTTCTAGCATAAGCAGAGGAAAGACGATTTTTTTACTGGAATAATGCTACACGTTTCACTAAGAAAGCATAGTTTAGAAATTCACTTCACGATTTTTTAATGTATTTTCTTGATTTATAAGCAGTTTTTACTAATAACTTTCAATGAAATAGTGTAGAGTACTTTGATGTTGAACTTAATTTTTTTCAAGCATTCTGCAAAATAATGTACTTTGAGGTTAAACGTAATATTTTCGTAGCATTAACAGATGAAACCCCAAATTATTTATTGAAATCTAATTTTATATTTTGCATTGGAATCGTACTTTGAATATTAGTTCCACAAGTTTGATGGAATCGTACTTCGCAAATTAGTTCCCCAAATTTGACATGTCAAAAATAATATTCTCTTGAGCAAGTATAGTTCTTAAAGAAATCTATCTTCAAAATTAGGCAGCTAATTCTGCAGGCAACTTTATGCCCTGGATAAATTGGTTAAGACTAAATGTTTCTTGATTAGTTTTTAAAAACATTTTATATTATTTCTAATAAAATGGTCACATCACTTTTTCAGAATGTCAATCCTCCATGAAAAGTGAGAGATGTGCTTTAGTGAGGATAAAATGCTCTTAAAAAATAGCAATTCAAATATTATATATATTATATACTAATAATAAGCTGATTTCAGCTATAAAATTAATTTGTTAATTTAGTTTAATTATTTTAGTTTATTATTTGCTAAGTTTATTTATTATTTATTCAAGAGACTGTCTCTTAGTTTTAGATAAACTTTTCATTTTAAAACCCTTCAGTTAGTTTGATTAGATTTCATTTTGAATCCTTTTATGTTCTTAAAAGTTTGGTTTTTTTCTCCAGATGATAATAACTTTTAGTGATACTCGTAGCATGAACGGGAAAGTCGAGTATAAACATTCGAAAATTTTCCTGATACCTTTAGGTATGAAGATGGTAGGTGAGGGGGATCATTTGGATGCCATTCACCAACTTATCTGAGGCATGTTTAATTGTTAGCTACCAATAAAACAGAAAAAATACTTCTGGGAAACAGCAGTAAATTTCGACTAAAGCTTTAAACGAGATGCCCAATGAAGAAAACCTTAAGTTAAAAAATAAATAGTTCGAAAACAAGGAATAGAAGAATCAAACAAACGAAACGTTTATTGGTGAAGAAAATTTTATCCTTTAATTTGGAATTAAATGACAAAAGTTGCTATCAGATTGCTGTACACTACACAGATAGAATGAAGGGAGAACAAATGCTTCTTGAAGTGAAGAAATATATAAAAACAGTTGTTGGAATCACAACAAATTCCATTCAAAATTTCATCGAATCACAGTAAGTAGAAATTTCATACTGCGATTTAATCTTACAGTGCACCCTTTCGGCAACTTTTGTTACTACATTCCTAACTTCAGTATAATATTAATATTAACGATGCTGTTTGGTTCATTTTTTTACCATCCTTTCTTCAAGATATTTAAATTTGAAATCAAACTGGTCTTCGTTGAACACAGTAGATTATAGGAAATTATGAAACGCATGTTTAAAGAAATGTATAATTCGAATCGTAAGTTCCACCTTTTCCAATATTTTAAATATAATTGCCAATTTATTTCATTCAGTCAATTCCTTTTACAATTTCTTGTTAATTTCTCGATATATATAAAAAAACACTTCTAAACAAGGAAAAAAATACCACAAATTTATATTATATATTTGCAGTTAAAAACAATGATATTATTTCACCGCATTTTCAACTTTTCTTATGAAGTTAATTCAGGAATTGGAAACATATTGGAACACAGTCATAAATAACTTGTGATTATTTAAATATCCTTAAATAATCAAAATAAATAAAAACCTAAGAAAAGGAATACTAATAGAAAAACAACAGTACAACTTTATTTTTAAAAAATAAATTTTGAAAAAAGGTATAAAAATGAATTTTTCACATTAAAAAATGAAATTTTTTTTGGTCTAAGGTAATTCATCAAATCCAATAAACAAGCTATACAGGAGCAGTTTTACGTGTTTGCTCATGAACATGCGGAATCACATAACGAATGTTATCCATATTGGGATGAGCAGGTTTTTTCTTAACATACAAATCAGTCATACAAAATATCTGAAATAAAGAAAAAAAATCATCCTAAAATTTTACACACTTTATTTCTTTTAGAAAAGGCAATTGAAACAAAATTGTCTAAGTTTAAGTTTCTATTACTAGCAAACACATAAAAAATTCGATTTTTAGAAACTTATTTGAAGAGACATTCAACCAATTAAAAGTGTATTTTTCACGCCAATTTTCTTCTTTTCATTTCCAATTTTAGAATAAGTTTCATTGTGATATTTGAATTAAACATGAATAAAAATATAAAAATTTCTAAATGGGGGAAAGAATTTCAATAAAAATATCTTAAATAACCAGACAGAGTCCGCAGACGTTTCGACCATCAACAAACTTTCGTCAAAATTCCCTTCCTATGACGTGTGCAGTTCTTACTAACTGTCAAGTTACTTTACAATTCGAGTGTTTCTACTCGAAAAAAGGACTAGTTGTTAGACTAGAGATTCTACAAACTGGATACAAACACTAGCTGAAGTTATTTACCAGTACATAAATTGGAATTGTTGCAGTTACTGCAGTTTAAAGAAATATGATAACCTGTGTGAAACACATTTTTATTACTTACAAGAATTATTTAAAGACCCGAATTTCTAAAAAAACAACGTAAAATTGGTCATCGTCTATTTATATTTGAATCCATATAAACAAAATTCTACAGAATGATCCATAACAGATATTAAGATTATTCGTTTGAATCTTTGGCATTTTAAGGACTCATTATGAACCAAACTCTATGACTATAACTGTAAAACTTATTTAATCTTTTTAATTTAGAATTTCACTACATTAAATGAATAACAAATATACTCACGCAGTATATACAAATAAAAAATGCAATTAAGAAACCAGCCAAGATATCATCCCAGTGATGCCAGTTATCAGAGACTCTGGAAAAAGATACGTATCCTGATGGCATCAGCAACATTCCTAATAATAATGGCTTTGCCAAGACACTGTATCTGCTGAACGTTACTTTTTTGGCAAGATAAAACTGAAAAAAAATATTATTTATAACATTTTAAGTCATTAACAATTACTAATAATGCATTTATGTCAAAATAAACGAGGAGTGATTAAAGAAAAAACTCTTTCGATGGCATGAAATTTGAACAGCATGCTCGGATCTTAAAAATAAACTGTATCGAGGGGGAAACAGTTTGTGGCAAACACTGGTTCACCTTCATTGGTATTTTAACATTTAATGCTAAAAGGAAAGTGAGTTCAGTTAACCCTTGAGTAAACTATGAAGCATCGTCCTCAAACGCAGATTTTTTTCAAACTATCTAGAAGAAAACAAATTGTGAACTGATGAAATTATGAATTGACAAATTACGGATTACTCAGCGGGAAAGCAATCCTCTCAGTTTTTTAATCCACCACCCACCCGCCCATCCACACACACACACACACACACACATATATATATATATATATTGCATTTTAACATTAAAAACATTTTTTCTCCATTTGAAATTTCCTGGTTTACTTAAGGTTTGCCTGAACTCTCCTTTCTTCTAACTTTGAATTTTAAAATACTAATGGAGGTAAAGCAGAATTTGCCGTAATAAGTTTCCCCCATGGTATCATATAATCTTTGACAAAAATTAGTACAGAAAATAGCCGACAGGTGACTCGGTAGAGTAAAACTGCGATTCTCTACAACTCTTTACAAATTCACCCATATCAGAAATTCCCCACAGATTGCGCCATTAATGTGCGGAATGAAATTACTGTGAACTACTATAACATGGCGTACTTAGTATATTTGCTACATGATATTACCTCTACATGTGATAACAAATTAGGTAAATGTAAATTTCTTAAAAGATATTTGCAGCTATATAAAGTTCATCATCCCAACTATTGAAGTTTATATTTAATTTTTGGTATTAATAAATTGGTTAAACAGTATATTTAACAGTTTTAGCAATAAAAGTCGTCTTTATGAATTTTCCTTCCAATTTTTCACTCACCAAGGCCACTAAATTTATTTATTTAATATCTCATTGTTACACAATTAAACGAGAAATATTTCTTTAATTATAAATTATAAAAAATTATATTCAATTGTAATGAATTATTCTCGAATAAACGAAAATCATAATTATGATTGAATATATTTTTGAATACCATATTTTCTACCTTGTGGCCACTTCTACCTTATGGCTCATATTTTTCGGGGACAAAATTTCAAACCTGTTGCAAAAGTTGTTTTTAAACAGAGGAAATGCATTTGGTGGTTGACTTTGAAAATTATTATTCTTTTTAATTAAAATAATGCACTGTCAATACTTGCCACGGTATAGAGCATTGCAAAATTTACAAGAGCTGAGTGACCAGATGGAAAAGACATTCTAAAAAATGAAACAAAATATTTTTAGAATACAATTGAAAAACATAATACAGAAATCAATTTTTATGTGCTTATAAATGTTGCACACGATAGCTACGTTATGAATTAAAAGAAACAGTTTGCATTTATAGTAAATATTAAAATGTAAGAAAAAAAAGGAAAAACGATAATAATTCAGTTTCGCGAATTCGTAAAACTCAATAGGAGAAAAATGGTAGACTAGTTTTAATATGTACAATGTGCAAAGAAAAGGGATACCCTGAATAACTTTTTATCTAGTCCTTGGAACTTCGTGTATTAGGACTTCTCTTAAATTTGTATACTTTACAAATCTTAAATGTTTAAAGGGCTGACTTTATATATGCTTTATATAGGGCTGACTTTATATTAATTAGTGATAGTGATATTTTAAGTTACGAAATCAAACAAAAAAGTGCTTATTCTGAATAAATACACATTTTTTAATTAATCCGTTAGCATTAGAATTCGAAAGAAGGAGCCGCAATCTTTTAAATATAATCCCAAAGCTTCTGTCAGCTCTGTGGTGCAAAGTTTGAATCCCTTAACGTCAATTATACTTTTTTGCGTTTTCCCCCCTACATCGACAAAGCGAATTTTTTAAGCGAATTAAAAAAATTTTGCAAATAATTATAAAATTTTCCTTCAAAAGGTACCATGTACCATGCAAAGATAATTCTATGCAAAAAGTAATTTGCAATAATTATTTAACACTTATTTTTAATAATACACGAAAAAATTTTAAATTGTAAGATATAAAAATTTTAGTATTCTTTTAAATAATCCATTATAATAAGGCAAAGTACAAAATTTCAACGAAATCATTCGAATTGTTCCCGAAAATCATTCGATTCCTCAGGAAGTATTCAACCGATTGCGGTCAAATTTTGCATTTTTCCTTATAAAATTATGTTCTTTCAAATGTTGTAGAACATGTACCTTCACTTTTTAATTCAAATTTTTCTTTCCATTTAAAATACTTTCTTTTCGATTTTTAGTAAATGAAAAAATTAAAAATAATAATATAATATTAAAAGTTTGCGAGGATTTATCGTTGCATGAAATAATATTAAAAATTTTTTTTGATTCGCTTAAAAAAATTTCATCATGGGGAGAAATACCCCAGGAATATAACTAACAGTAAACTTAAATTATAATTAACATTAAACTTTGGACCGATATACTGGCGTAATTCAATAAGCGTATTTAAAGCATAGTAGTTAAAATAGAATATTTGAAATTACAGTTTTTAAAAATTAAATTTGAGTCCTATTATGGAAAAATCCGATCAATAAATCGCAAGTTATTCAGGGCATTTCGTTTTTATTTCTTTATTTTATTTACATTTTTCATGTTTTATTTTTATTTTCAGGCACTGTACACAAAATAAGAAACGGAGGAAAAACATTTTTAATAAATACATTTAAAAGTTACTTTTCGGGAAATTTTGTTTATCTCTCTCTTTCTCTTTATATATATATATAAAGAGAAAGAGAGAGATTGATAGATAGATAGATAGATATTTAAACAAGACAAATGAGGTTTAAATTTGCAGGCCTAAAAGTTTTGCAAAAGAGAAAAGTTTTGAGGGCCATCCTTGGTGGGATAAAAATAAATAATTCCTGGAGAAGACGATATAATACTGAACTGTATGAAATATACNAATAATAATAATTTTTATTTAGTGCTTATAATCTGCAAGTAAATAGAACTGATAAAATAAGTTCAAAAAATATAGAGACATCAAAGAAAAAGCTAAAAAATATATCGTATAAATAAATAATTCATAAGTAATAATAATAACAATGAAGTAATAAATAAGTAATAAATTAAGTTAATTAAAAGCGTTCGCAGTTGAAGGATATTACTTACAGCACGAATACAAAATTCTGTAATAAGCAGATAAAAAAATAAATATCATCCATATACGGAGAAATATTTCAGATTAAATTACAAGACTCTAAGGTAAAAAATAAATAAATAAATGAAAACATAATTTAGGTTGGAAAAAATCAGAATATGTGGTATTTAAACCATTTGATATTTTAAAAATTCATTTGGTAGCGGTTAATCAAAATTATAATTCCTCCCACGCATGTAGTTAAAAAGTACAAAACTGAGTTATACATTCATTCGAATAAATGGTTTGAATGCATTGCTCTAAAGGCATCCTGTTAAATATGTTTAGTTTAGTCATATTTACCAAATTTTACATACTGCGAAACTACACTTACTGCAAAACCATATTTATTGTTAATTTTACTAAAATACCAAAACTCTCCTGCAAACTTCATGTTTTAGGTGTTCCCGTAGATCAAGGAACACAGTAAATTATACCATTTTCTAGTTTTAACCATACTTTTTTCGCTGCTTGTACTTTTGAAACTTTGACGGTTTGTAGATTTTAAATCTTTGTGTCTAAAAGAAGCAAAGATTAACCATAAATTTAACAAAGATTAAAAATAATTTAATCAAAAGATTAAGAATAGTTTTATCCAAAGGTAACGGATAACTTTAACAATCAACCAGGCACAAATTTATACGAGTTCACCTTTACTCTATAAATTACGTTAGAGTAACGGAACTTCAGACGAAACGTGTATTTGATTTGTCATGTTGTTTTAAAAACTCTTCTATTGGAAATTATTCATAATAAAATATAAAAAAATATTATAAAATAAATTAAAATATATATAATAAATTAAAATATATAATAATAAATAAACATTTTACTGGATCTTACCGAAGGAAATTCTCATTCCGCAACTTAGGATTGGTGCAATTGTACTTGGTAACATAATAATGTGGATTTTCTACAGCAGAGCAGTTGAAATTAGGTTTACAAAGATCTAGAAAGTTTGGACGAAGCCTTCCTACTAAATATTTTATAAAAGCAGCCGCCAACTCTGACATGATGAGGCCGTAGAGGAATACACCACCGAAGATGTAGATTTGCTGAATCACGTAAGGAACTTTAAATCGAAAGAAAAATATCTTTTTCCCTTCAGGTTCATTAACTGTAAATTTTCTAACCACTTCTGTTATGCAGATCTACAACGTAAATATATTTTTAGACAAAAAAGACAGAAATTAATTATTTTATGTGTCAAGCAAAAAATAACAGTATGCTGCAAATAAGAAATGCTATTTAAAATGACCACAAATCATTTTTTTTTTTTTAAATATTACAAGACTCTTAATAAAACTAAGTACAAAATGTATTAATAATTTTGATAATTAATAATGTGCATAATGTATGAATAATACATATATATTCATGGAATATATCCATTCCATCATAATTATATTAATGAAACACTTTTAATGTTCGCAAAGATTTTACAAGTATCATACGGATAAAAGCCTTGTTGATCCAAAAATAATTTCAAGCAAAAAATAACTATTAATAACTTTTTTTTTAAAATTTCCAATGAACTGCACAATCGGTCTTGCCGATGAGCAGACCTAGTGTATTCTTCAGTGGTGGTATCCACTCTTTCAGGACCACCACAATGGGTGAGATACCGTTGGTCATGTTAATTTGGACGTCTAGTTTCTGCCACACTAGATATCAGCACCAAGACTCTATTTGGATGCTAAAGTGCACTAGGAATTTAATTTTGCAGAGATGAAGTTTGACATTGCCGATAAATACTATTGCCACATTGGTGCCCTCATACGTGATGTGAACACGCCTACCTTGTCAGAAACTCCCACTTCGATCTGAGTACTCCTTTCTGGACAATAACGCCCACTTTGATCTGAACACGCCTTTTTCGATGGATGGTCCACATTGAACAGTTGACTTGCTACTTGTGACAGTGACATTATCCACCTCCTTGTGCTGTTGCTACTCAGTCTCGATTACGCATAACGTACAACTTATTCACTCAACTGCTAAAGGCAACACAGGAGTAACTACTACCGTGAACTTAACACAGCTCTCACAGTCAGCGCTTAAAAAGTACGGTGATCTTCATACAGCTCTCCCGGATTCTCACAAAACAGCATTAAATCAACTAGTGGTATCCGTTCATCAAATTCTATCACGGATATAATTCTGGTGGAGGAGTTCTGTTGCGTATCTACCACTACAAATATACAATTCTAATTCATTAGTATATAAGACATGTTAACTCGATTCTATGGTGGGGTACTTTTACATAGATGACATTGATGACATGATGTAGGTTGACATTGTCGATAGCTACCATCACCATCGCCACAATTTAAAATAACCTTATTTTAAGTAAACATAAACATTTATTTGCTTCACAACAGTAAACTTGTCAAATTATTTCTAATTAAAGTTATAAATAAGAAATAATAAAAAAAAAATTCCTACCTTTAATAATCAGTAAATACATGAATTTTTTAAATAGGAGAAAAAAAGTTTCGTAAAGACATGACGAAAAAATGAAACTCATAAAATTAGGTTATATTTTTTTCCTCAATACATATTTAGCGAACCACATTCCCCGATTTAGTTTATTGCTCTCAGATTTTCTAAGTCAAATATCCAGATAAGTTAGAAAAAAAGAAGTAAATTTTTTAAGAGAAAGTATTTTTTTTTAAAAGAAAGTATTATTTTTAACAGATATTATTATTTTTCTTAGCTTTTGCAACTTAACCATTAAGCTTGCAATTTAGTTCATGAAACTTTAAATATTAGTTATTCATAATGATTCGTTAAGCTATAAGTGATACGGTTAGCAATTGGAGTTAATAAATTTCACCTAAGTTAGCGTAAGTCTGAAGAACTAAATTGTAAAGTTATGTAAATTGTAATTGCAGGAAATACTTGCAGGTTAGGTAACTAGGTAAATTGTAATTGCAGTGTCTGAAATGAGAAAAATAAAATAAAAATGCACCCTTATCACAATGCACCATAATCAAAAATAATGCTTACAATAATTTAATGGGTTATTTTATTAAATGAACTAATTCTTTTGTGAAAACATTATTTAATATTTTTTTATGGTTCATAAGCTTTGTCGTCTAAATTTCATATAGTATATATATATATTTCTCAAACGAAGCATAAATTGCTCATATAACTGAAGAATTTAAACTCACAATAGATAAAGGAGCTGAAACGCAAAATCCCCAAAGCACTCCAGTAGTAACGGAGCTTGGTTTTGCAGGATACATTATGTCCTCGTCGTCGCAAAAGAAGCCTCGTCTTACTGGTGTCACATTACGCCATAGTACAGGTATTATACCACCACCTGTAAAGAAATGTTAGTTAAACTATGGAACACTGTTTTCATTGACATAGATCTCCATACTATTAATTGTTATCCATATTAAATCTGGAATGCAATTTTAGTTAATAACTATTGCTTCGTAAAAGATCCCAAGTAAAATAAAAATGGACACCGTCCATAAACTGAATTTCGAGATCAACATTTCGCTAAAATTGCGGATCTAACGTCATAATTGAGAGAATAACGTCATAATAGAATTACACACAGGCCATCTGTATTACCCACACTATTTAGGATGATAGATAGGCATTAAGCATCCACTGAGAATCAAACCCCACCTAAAATAGCCTACCCCGTGGCGATTTTTTTAAATCTCGCTTATCAAGTTTATGAAATCTCGCCAAATTAGGTTTGCAGAAGATATTTCAGGGAGATTATTTTGAACATCCAATCATACCACGATCACACAGCCGAAATTCTTACACCTGATAGGTTGTTATATGATATGTATACCTAAGCGAAAGTTAGATTTCGTTAGGAAAGAGGTAAAAGGGTGATTTTTTTCCCGTCATTTATGCTTCTGATCTCTTGCTATTAGAATCATCGTTGTTATTTCATTTTTTAACTGTTATTTCAATTCTTATCTTTATTATTTCATTTATTACCGCTATTTTTTCTTTTAATATTTTTGCGCGGTACCGATTAAAAATGGCGAAGTATTATAATAAGTTTTTAATAATTCAATTCTTTTTTATGTAATCAAAAAGCAACGCTGATTACTAGTAATAAACGCCAACTTGGTGAGATTTCAAGAAGTTGCCAAGAGGTGGACTATTCTGAGATTCCCCCCCCCCCCCTANCCCCCCCCCCAATACAGCGACTACTTAGTGCATATAGCCATTGAGCTATTGTGTGCATGCTTTAGTTAAAGTATTAAGAAAGAAATGACAAATATGTGGTAAATAAGTTTTTACATATGCAATTTTTTTTCAGCTCTGAATTTATCATATAATATAATTGGGTATGATATAAAAAAAACACAACTACTTCCACTTAGTAGGAATAACATTTACCATGACGCAATGCTAAATTCTATGCCACTATCCACATAAATGCCACTATCCACATAAATCAATTATTAATCAAAAATCGAATATCAATTACTTTTCTTTATGATGCAATAAAATCTGGCGAGCAGCTATTTAAACGATCAAACACTTCGTTTGTTTATTTGTGGCTTGAAGTTAGAATCGCAGAAAATGCCGTTCATGGGTTAAATTTAGTAGGAATAACACAACCTGTGACGTAGGCTATAGTATACCCAATTAACTTCTATCTAAGAATTCCTGAAAAAACTAACATAAATATTATGCACATGTTCTAATTTCGAAAGTGTACAATTACAAAAAACAATGTACTTTTTTCAGAAATTTCATTGCCCTTTTTTTCTGAATATCATGAATGATAATCTCGATTACAAATGCAAACAGTATCATGCTGAGGGTAACAGGCGCCATTGTGGAAGCTGGTGTAACTGGGAGAAAGCCAGCATAAGCATGAAAATATAAGACTGTGTTTTAACATATAATGCCGATTGAATTTTTATAAAGAATTTCATGCATTTTTGGTTTTCATAAATAAACAATCAAAATTAAAGTTGTTAAATGTTGTTTAACTATATTTCAAAAACGATTAAATGACTAAGATGCTAGTGACACTCAGAACATCTAATTCTAAAGGAGGGTAGGGAATAAACTATCCCCATAGAGAATAAATTATCCCCGATGAGTTAATAGAGTTTAATTGTTTTAATCTCCATTATTGGCGTTGCCATTTTGACGACACTAAGCTTAGTATTTTAATTAAAGTTATTATTGACAATATTACGGTTCGAATATTTAGTGCTTATTTTATGTACTTAGGTTATGTATAACATTTGTCCCCTTGATTTTAACATCTTTGGCGATTATTGCAGTACAGTATCATAGTATAGCTAAAACATCTCTAGATACTGAATTTCACGAACTCACTAATATACCTTTTAAAATGTTCTTCTTTTTGGTTCCTCAATAAATATTAAAAATCAATATTAAATTACAAATCAAAAGTGAATATTTTAAGTTACGCTATTTACATATAATAAAAAAGTGCTCGGGAAGAGAGATAAAATATTAATATCAAATATGAAAGAGGTAACGGTCATTTGACATCCTCACAGTGATGGCTCCAAATTACGAAATGTATAATTGAGTTTTTTTTTTTTTTAAATAAATGTCAGTAAAAGCTTTGTTTTTAATTGTTTTAAGCTTTGTTTTAAATGTTTTTAATTTCACTATCATTTCTGTTGCAATGCAGTTTCTGCTATTATTTTTGTAGCTAGGTGTGTGTAATTATATCTGTGGCGTGTAATCAATGTGGAATTTTTATGGAGGATTTGTGAAAACTATTGTTATTTTCTCTCTTTTGTAATATGCTGTAATAAATATTGGTGTTAAAAAAGAAAAAAGAAACTTTATATTTGTATATATGGTCTGGCCGATTAATATTTTATATTAAGTCTTATTCAAAATCTTGGAAGCGAGCGAAGCGTGCGTAATTCATAAATTAATCCACATAATGCCATTTTGCAATCTTTAGCTGTTGGCGAGTTTCAGAAAACAGGATGTGGATACAACTAGAAATCGTGATTTTAACATATAAAATAAAGCATTCTCTCATGACATCATTTACAACCTTTCAGTTGAGGTATTCGACAGCAAAAAGGACAACTTGATTGTAGATTTTGGTCATTCCACGTGCATAAACGGATTACGCTCGAAAGAACATTTTAGTACAGTTATATAGCATTTACATATTTGCAAAACTTTACCATCTAGCTTGAAAAGCAGGCCTTGTTCGTAAAATTATTTGGAAAACGGACGTTAAATTACATATTTTTTTAATATCGTAATCGCGATGTAAAATAGCATAACCACTTACAAGTAAAAAAAAATAAGCAATCGAGCAATACTGGAAGTGCTACATTCTTCTCTTCTCCTTCATTTTCTTCAATTTCTTCAGCAGGATTGGCCATTACTTTAGTTTATCTGCAGCAGAAAGTGTTAAAGATGGATGTTAGGATATTAGTGTAAACTCAATTATTTTAAATGCATTTAATGAACCAATTGTTAAAATAATGATTTAACCTTATCGAAAATATAACATTAAAGAAAGCACTATATGTTACTCACATTCTTGTGAATGCATTCTTTAAGATGTAATTAATCACGATGAACCAAAGGATTTTTTCCTATTAGGTACATTTATTTAAAACAATACTAGCTGTAAATTTTCAACGAATATCATATTTTTTCAATACTCAGAAAAATTATACTCTATTTTAATACACAAATTCCAATTTTGTTTTAAGTTTTCATGCCCTCACTAATCCATTTAATCTAGAAAAATACAATAATTCATATTAGATCGATATTAATATTTTAGAAATTGTATATTCCTCTTTAATACTTCAAAAATTATTTATGAGCAGCTAGATTTTCAAAAAGTAAGAATAATAATTTCATTAAATATTGTCAAATTGTTATTCTTTTATTTTCTTAAAGGTGGAATAAAATGATCACTTTACTGCACATGCGAATAAAATAATAATTACTGTATTACACATAAAAATATTTCTTTTTACTTATTCAAAGCTCTTGTACTTATGTAATTCGTGTGGCTTTGCGAAAACAATAGAAAATTAACACAGAAACAAAATCAAAATAAAATATCTCACTTCCAACGGAACTGGTTGTTGTTGTTGACGTATGCCTGTTTAGGCAGAGGGGGTGCGATTGTTCTTGTTTTCCAGTGGAGCCATCTATGGCCAAGAATTTGACTTCTGCCACACCAAACGTCACACCCGTTTATAGGGTGGACCCATTCATGCATCCAATCATTCATCCCCAGATCGTAATTTTGACCTGAATCAGAGAACGATCGATCTCCAATCCAGTATAACCAGATGTATTGATTTGTTATGGGAACATGGATGCGACTCGACAGATTTAACGTACATCAGTCACTTTACTACACTCTTCGGCTGGCTAGGTTCGAATCCACGAACTCTCGGACATGGGTCCAGCTCCCTACCGACCTGGCTATCCCGGCCAAACGGAACTGGTAGACCGCATATTTGAAAGCATCACAATTCGCTGTCCGTACTGTATTGCTGTTAGAGGTGATCATAATCCATACTTAAGGTACTTTTTCTATTCTAAACTGGCACATCTGATGTATTCATTTCATACGCATGCTAATTTCTGTAGCACCATAATTGTCTGGGTTTTATGTCATTTTATGTATAATTCTGTGCACTATGATGTGTACCAGTTTCAATAAATTCGATGAGTAAATCTTTAAATTATGGTATTTTTTGTGATTTTTCCTTAATTTATGATAGCTAGTGTACTAAACAATCATAAAAAACTGAAGCGTGTTTATAACAAAACATTAGCCAACTTGAAAAAAATTTTAAAAATGAGAAATTTTTCAAATTTTATTAATTTTAAATACGATGTGCGAATTAAAGATATTTATCCATTTTAAAATTTTTATGTCGTATTTATTTTTATTACAATCGGTAACTTTTTCCCTCCAAACCATTCCGAAATTTAAAAAATTTATTTTCTTATGGGTTTGCCCACTCCAAAACGAACCCTTAAAAATTTCAAAAAGCGCATAGTAACAAGGCAATGCAATAATGAATTTTTAAACAAATAATATTTCACTGAAAAGAACATTTTTATTTCAAAAATGTTTAGCATACTAAGCAATTATGCTATTCACTGATTTGACTAACTGAATTTATAATTAAACTTAGTAACATTTGAGGTAACATTCGTTGGTTATTTTCAATTGGTTACTTTAAAACAAAAATTGATTACTTTCATTAATTTTTATGTCCCACTTTTGCACTTCATTCTGCCGCATTCCTAACAATCCCATTAGATCAACGAGTTTTAATAATCAGTTAGAAAAATTCACGGGCACTTTAATCTATATGTAGAAAGATTGAAAAAAAAAGATTCCCGACATATAAAATTTATATATTTGTAAATTAACTCTAGTTTTTATTTAAGTGATAAGGAATGTACTATTAGTTAAGTACAAGTTCTCTTGCCTAAAAGCATAAAAACCATTGAATTACAAACTTGATAATGTCAGAGAAAAATACTAATTATACGTTATAATAAATATTGCACTTAAATAACGTTATATGAGGGGAAAAAACTATAACAATAAAACGAAGAATTTGTGTGTGTGCATGTATTATAGCTTCAAAACTGTTTCTGATGTAGCCGCTGCAAGGGACAATTTTATGCCACGATTCTAAAAATCTATAAAAAAATTTCAATCTGATAGTTCTGAAGAGACATTTTGAAAAGTGTTTTTTTTTTCATTAATCAAGCCAAAGCCATTGTTATAAATTGAACTGTCGACGATTTTATTTTTTATTTTTATGAATTTGAAAGATAATAACAAGCCAGTTTAATCTCTGTTTGAACAAAAGCAAAACAAAGTTTTTTGCGCAATCTCCATTAATTAATAATTTTGATTCATTATATCAAGTAAGCTCGAGTATCAAAGTGAATAGCATCTAAGGACTATATGACTATAAATATAAACAACTATAAAAATATAATTTCTATAAAAATAAACAACTTAAAATCATTGATAAAGAAAATAAGGAAATTGCACTAAAAAAACAAAACTAATGTTGAAAAGATATTTTTTCGTTTCGAGAGATATTATTCGTATATATTCGTAAGATATTTATTAATGATGCCGATGGTTTTCATTTCATTCTTGTGTTTAGTACTACCTATATAGTGATTATAGGTGCTGCTTTAATCAATACTAAATACACTAATATAGCTACTGAGGTAATATGTTTTCTGTGGTCCTTTCAAAAAGGATAAGTACCGGAAAATGTTATTTGACTACGGTAAACTGTGACTATCGTGAGTTGGCCACGAGCAAATGCAAGACGCGTAGAAAAGAATGTTAACCCCCCCCCCCATTAAATCCGTTAAAAAATTGCTAATTTGTTATGGAGTTATCTAACGAGACATTTTGCAAAGCAACAGTGATAATAATTGAGATACAGAAGAATTTCTGAGTTGATCTGATAAAAAAAGAAAACAATCGACCGACTAATTTGATGGTGGATCTTTGTTATGTCACTAATATATTTGGGACACTGTAATACGATTTTTATTTTTAAATACATCATCATGACTATTTTTCTAATAATTTTCTCTGAACTAAATGTAGTTTAGTAAAAATAACAATAAACAGAATAATTGAAAACTAATGAGAAAAAATAAAAAATAAAAATAAAAAACATTACGAAAAAAAGTTTGTTCGCCAAGGCCGGAATTTATGTGCTTTCCACCAGCTCTCAGCAAACGCAAACTCCCGGTATGCTTCTCGAACAGTTCTTTACGCAATTACAATAAGTGTCAAAAAAAATAAATAAGAAAAAGTAAAAATCAAATTGTTTTATTTTCGACAGCGGTTTTAATTTTTTTAATTCATCGATCCAAGTACGATAGACGATAATAACAATCATTATAATTTAAAATGCAATGCGGTAGCTTACTGTAACAAATCATTGTTTTAAAGGTATAAAGAATATAAATCAAATGTTGTTTAAATTTAATTAAAGATAAACTTATAAAAAAATTAAAATTTGGAAAAATAGCAATTTAAGACCTACTTGTTGATAAATCATACAATAAATAGAAAATAATTTAAATTCCTGAATAATAAGAATAGTGCAAAATAAATTTTTACAACTATGGAGGCTTGTGAAAACAAAATTTGTTTTAAAAAAACGTTACTTTTAAAATTCCTCTTTAACGGATTTAGACGGAACTTGGTATTTTTTTTTGGCAACTTTACGAATTTGATGGAAGATAACAAGATTTTACTTTCCCCCCATAAAGTGGGTTGAAATGTTGCGACAAACACAAATTCTTCCATTTCATGGAAATTCACTGTAATAAGATATATTCCAAAGTTTTTTTTTTCCTTTGGCTGGTTTATGTTTCGCTATTTTTTCTTTTAAATCTGATGGTTTAGTATTACTCATATTTTCAATTTTATTTTTGGAATAATTAATAAAATTGCAAAAAAAAAAAAAACATTTGGAACAATTGATTTAAATTTTTTTCTAAACTTACTTTAAATTAAAAAAAATTATTAATTCTAAATAAATGTGATACTAAAAGAAATATAAACAAACTGAAAAATATATATAAAAAAACATTACCTTCCCTATTGAAACTTCACGCATATAATTAAATTCAAACTTTATTTATGACTTTTCTTTTATTTCAATAATCTAAATAGGTTAACTGATAGTAATAGTTGCGCTTCAGAAACTGAGGTTCCAACTGATGCAAGTAAGAAATAAAAATTCCAGTGTAAATTTCTTAAATAAAAAAAACAAATTGTTTCTAAACTGAACAAAACACATCTTTATAACAATTTTATGAATGATGTCTTAAATTAAATCAAGATTATGCTAACCAATCTTTTAATTGGGTATAATATGAAAAAAACACAACTACTTCGATTTAGTAGGAACAACATATGACGCAATGCTAAACGAATGGAATTTAGTTGTTGTTTATTTAGTTATTGTTATTAGTAGTTGTTGTTATTTGTTTTAGTTGTTGTTGTTTATTTAGTTGTATTTAGTTTCAATAACTTTTCTTTATAATGCAATAAAATCTGGCGAGCAGCTATTTAAACGATCGAACACTTCGTTTGTTTATTTGTGGCTTGAAGTTAGGCTCGCAGAAAATGCCGTTCATGGGTTAAATTTAGTAGGAACAACACAACCTGTGACGTAGGCTATATTATACCCAATTGTAGGCATGCATATCTCTGTATGTATTAAAGCGAAAATTTGTCTGAATGTATTCTCGCTAATAACTCGAGAACGGGATCCCCAATATGGATTGTGTTTCCTATGATTCCAAAGTTTCAAATGATGATTTTTAAACAATCTTTTCTTTCCGGTGTTATTTGGTTCGGTCACAGTATCAAAAAATTTAAATTTCATTTATAAAAATCATTTTATAGATTAAAATGTGCGCTGTGATTTAAGCGTCTACAAAATATTTTTTAAAAAAGCAGACGAAATCACTAGAGAGAAGTAAGACATCCTCAAGGGCAGAAGTAAAGCATGTTAGAAACAACAATGCAGGCTAACATAAGTTATTGAAAATTGAAGAAATGTTAGATTTCCACGTCTGGGACATTGTGAAGCATATTAAGCGATAAGCAGAGAGCTCGCCGCACTTAACTATACTCAATACTCAATAAATATGCGTATTCTTATTCATTCAAATGGCGATTCAATTTCAAGGCCTTTAAATGTATTGAAGTCTAATACTAAGACATTTTTACACCAACTTTTATTAATAATAATTTATTGTAAACATCTTTTTTTATCACGAATTTTAAATTCATTAACTTGAAATTGTCCTGAATAAATTACATGTTTGAGTTTACACATGTAAGTTTTAGATTAGTTAAATCTCCACTCTTTAGTCTAAATATTAAGAAAAGAACAGTTTTTAAAAACAAAAACCTTTCATCTAGGCCTAAATCAGCTAAATAAAGCCGGTTGGAAATCTAGAGTCCATTTTAACTAACAATTAAGCGCGTCAAATATCTCATGACAGAGATGGAAATAATTTTAATATTTATGCTGTCTATACTATACTGAAAAGTCCCGAACTTACATTTACTTTCATTTGTGTGATTTGAAGAATGCCGGTTAAATTTTAGATTATTGCTAAAATTCAATATATGAATGCCGGTTGTATGAACTTTGGCACTATTGTGGACATATCTTGAAAATAGTTAAAATTTAAGTCAAAGTACTTGCACTTGCGCAAATCCACAGATAACAATTAGACAGCGAAGAAACTTTGTAAATATATTGGTCATCATTGATTAAGAAATTGGGATTAGAGGAGGGGTTGAATAATTAGAATATTTTAAAACAATATTGCCTGGTAAGACCTAAAGTTTGTATGTTGAACAAGATAGTCACCTACTTCAGCCAGTAGACTATAAAAAATTATTTTATAGAATATCATAAAAATATACTGAAGCAATTAATATTAACGATGCTGTTTGGTTCATTTTTCTACTATCCTTTTTTCTCTAGATATTTAAATTTGAAATCAAACTGCTCCTCGCTGGACACCCTGGATATTAATTAGTAAAGGAAAATTATGAAACGCATGTTTAAAAAAATTATAATTCGAATCGCAAATTCCACCTTTTGAAATATTTTAAATATAATTGTTAATTTATTTCATTCAGTCAAATTTTTTTTTACCATTTCCTGTTAATTTCTAGAAAAGTAAAAAGATAAAATTTCTAAACAAGAAAAAAATATAACAAATTTATATTGCAAATTTGCTTTTAAAAACAATGATTTTATTTCACCCCATTATCAACTTTTCTTATGAAGTTAATTCATGAATTGGAAACATATTGGAAAACAGTCATGAAAAACTTGCGATTATTTAAATCTCTTCAAATAATTAAAATAAATAAAAACTTAAGGAAGAGAAAACCTAAGTATAAATACTTATAGAAAAACTTTAGTACAACTTTATTTTTACAAAATAAATTTTGGAAAAAAGTATGAAAATGAACTTCCCACATTAAAAAATGACATGTTTTTAGGTGTAAGGTAATTTGTAAAATCCAATAAACAAGCTATACAATAGCAGTTTTACGTGTTTCTTCATGGACATGTGGAATCTCAGAAAGAACATTATCCATATTGGGATGAGTAGGATTTTTCTTAACATACAAATCAGTCATACAAAATATCTGTAAAAAGAAAAAAAATCATTATAAAGTTTTACACCCTCTATTTTTTTAGCTACATTTGCTTGCAATTGAAACAAAAGTTTCTAAATTTAAGTTTCTATTGCTCGCAAACACATAAAAAATAAGATTTTTAAGAAACTTACTTTGAAGACACATTCAAGCAATTAAAAGCGTATTTTTTACGGGTAACAATACCACTAAATTCTTATGAGCTTATATTTTTTAATGCACATCGAAATTTAGCTTTGAAAAATTTTTAAGCATAAAGTTAACTGAAATTTGAAGTATCTCAATAAGTGGTGATTCTAAAAGTTAATTATTCATTACATTAACCCAGAAAAAAAAATTCGATATGCTTGTAATTCTTTCAGAGATTCCCACTCGTGTACTTCACGTGCTTCAATAGAACTTATGTCGACAATTTACTGATAAAAAAGTAGGAAATATGCTGCTAAGATTTTTCATTAAACTTATATCAAAGTTTAAGAGTACTATTACCATGCGTACTATATCTTAAGAAGAGCTCTCAATTACAAATACCAAAATATCAAATTTTATTTTTAAGGCAAGCATTTCTAATTCTAGAGAGAGTTTTATTTAGATATTTGAATTAACCACGAATAAAAGTTTAAACATTTCTCAGTGAGGGAAAGAAATTCAATAAAAATATCTTAAATAACCAGACAGAATCTGCAGACGTTTCTACCGTCAACAAACTTTCCTCATTTGACGTCCGTAGTTTTTATTACCTTTCAAGTTACTTTTCAATTTGAGTTTTCAGAGTCGAAAAAAAAGATTAGTTGTTAGACTAGAGTTTTTACTAACCGAAGACTTAGTAAAAGTTATTCCCAATTACATAAATTGGAATTTTTTGTATAATTCTTAGCGTTGGGGGGAGAATGGTGAGAAAGAACATAATATCAGGGACTAAAGGGTTTCATGATGAAGAAGGATTTTTTTTTAAAATGGGCAAAAACAAGCAATAGAATAAAAGCTCTCAATAAAAAACACAGCAAATAAAATTTTTCTAAACTTTTTTAACAAACTAATGTCTTTTGAAACATTAAGAAAAAACATGTTAATAGATATTAACTTAAAAGAAATGAATTTTAACGATAAAATGGAGCATATACTATTTTTCGACTAAAGTTGACTAAAATTAATTGACGAGAATTTTTCTTATTAATCGTTAAATTTTTAAATGCATATTTGATCACTATACATTGCATTAAAATTTAAGAATTTCTGCTATTTCCAAACAATAAGAAGTATTAAACTCAATTTCCAGATTAGGAGACATTTTTCTCACTCGAGCCATATTCTTTTGAAATTGGATTAACTCAAATTTCAAATCTCCCCAGCATTAAATATTTTAGTTTTCAAGTTCAAAAATGCAGTACATTTTAAGTTCAGGTTACATTAAAAAGATTAAGAACATTAGCTCCTTTGTTATTTTATGTTTTCAGAAATGACCAATATGGTGAAATGGTTTGTTATATTTATTTAATGCTAATATAATAAATATTAATAAGAATTAACATTCTTTATTTCTTTTTTAACTGGATCCAAAATAGCGTAACTGGAACCAAAGTATATTAGCAATCAAAATTATACATGAAAATAATATTTGAAACTTGATAATGTTCATTTAACACAATGAATGAGGTAGTCATCAACCTTGAAAATTGAAATTTGTATTGATGAAAAACAGCAATATGTTTACTATCTGTCTTTAGGGAAAGCTATACATGTTTTAAATTTTGCAGACAATTATTATCAAATAAGGGAAAGTGTCAGCTACATCAGTTGAGAAATGTTCGTCAGAAGTTCCCTGTTGAATTAGTTAAAAATAGACATGTAGAAGGAAAAGGACCAAGACATTTTCAAATTAAGTTTTACTTATTGATAAGTAAAAGTGAATTCAATGAATAAATATGCTGGGGAATTATTTCAATGTGAAAATATTTTCACCAAAAATAATAATTCTTGAAAATACGCTAACTCTTTCCTCTGTGAGATCTTTCAAAAAGAATGCTTGTAAATTAATTTAACACTCATGGAATTGTTAATAAAATAAGATATTTCGTCATCTGCCTGAATATAATTTCGGACACTTGCTGCAGTTGAAAGAAATATGATAACTTGTGTGAAACGCATTTTTATTACTTACACCAATTAGTTGAAGACTCCAATTTCTACAACAACAACGTAGAACAGAATGATCCATAACAGATATTAAGAATATTCAATTCAATCTTTAGCATTTTTAGGACTTGTTATAAGCCAAAATCTATGACTATAATTGAAATACTTATTTAATGTTTTTAATTTAGAACTTCACTACATTAAATGAATAGCAAATAAACTCACGCAGTATATACAAACAAAAAATGCGATTAAGAAGCCACCCAAAACGTCATCCCAGTGATGCCAGTTTTCAGAGATTCTGGAGAAGGAAACGTATCCTGATGGCATCAGCAGCATTCCTAATAATAATGGCTTCGCCAAAACACTGTATCTGCTGAGCGTTACTTTTTTGGCTAGATAAAACTGGAAAAAAAATCTATTATTTATAGCATTTTAAGTCATTAACAATCACTAATAATGCATTTATGTCAAAATAAACGAGAGGTGATTAAAAAAAACTCTTTCTATGGCATAAAATTTGAATAGCATGCTCGGATCTCAAGAAAACGCTATATCGACGGGGAAACAGTTTTTGGATAACACTGGTTCACCTTCATTGGTAATTTAAAGTTTAATGCTAAAAGAAAAGTGAGTTCAGTTAACCCTAGAGTAAACCATGAAACATCAAATGCAGATTTTTTTCACACTATCAAGAAGAAAACAAATTGCGAACTGATGAAATTATTAATTAACAAACTGCGGATTACGCAGTAGGAAAGCAATCCTCTCGTATTTTTTTTCTCATTTTAACGTTTTAAAAACATTCCTTCCCCATTTCAAATTTCCAGGTTTACTTAAGGTTTGCCTGAAATAGCTTTTCATCTAACTTTGAATTTTACAATACTAATGGAGGTAAAGCAGAATTTGCCATAATATAAGTTTCTCCCATGGTATCATATAATCTTAGAAAAAAATTAGTAAAGAAATCTGCCAACAGGTGGCTTGGTAGAGTAATTAGAACTGTGATTCTCTGCAGCTTAGTCCAAACTCAACCATATCAGAAATTCCGCACAGATGGCGCCATTAACATGCGGAATAAAATTTCTGTGAACTACTATGACATGACGTACATGCATTACATAATCCTTTTTAATATAATCAACACGCCAAACGTGATAATAAATTAGGTAAATGTAATTTTCCTTAAAGAAATTTGAAGCTATATACAGTTCACCATTATTGAAGTTTATACCTAATTTTTGGTATTAGTAAATTGGTTGAAAATTTTCTGAGCAATAAAAATCATATTTATGAATTTTCCTTCTAATTTTTTATTCCTCAATGCCACTAAATTCTTTTTTTAAGTATCTCATTGTTACTTAATTAAACAAAGAAAAATATTTTGCTAATTATAAATTATAAAAAATTGTAACCAATTATAATGAATTATCTTCGAATAAACTAAAATTATAATTATGATTGAATATATTTTAGAATACCATATTTTCTACCTTGTGGGTACTTCTCATATTTTTAGGTGCGAAATTTCAAACCTGTCGCAAAAGTTGTTTTTAAACAGAAGTGCATTTGGTGGTTGACTTTGAAAATTATTATTCTTTTTAATTAAAATAATGCACTGTCAATACTTGCCACGGTATAGAGCATTGCGTAACTTGCAAGAGATGTGTGGCCAGATGGAAAGGACGTTCTAAAAAATAAAACAAAATCTTTTTGGAATATAATTGAAAAACATGATACAGAAATTAATTTTTATGCGTTTATAAACATTGCGCATGACAGCTATGTTATAAATTAAAAGAAACAGTTTACAATTATACTAAATACCGAAATGCAAAAAAAAAAGAGGAAGAAAAAGCAATCTTTATTCAGTTTCGCGATTTCGTAAAACTCAATCGGAGAAAAATGCTAGACTAGTTTTAATATGTACAGTGCGCAAAGAAAAGGAAAACCCTGAATAACTTTTCGTCTAGTTACTGAAGTTTCATCTATTACGACTTCTCGTAAATTTGTATGCTTTACAAATCTTAATTATTTAAAAGGCTGAATTTATCTATGCTAATTAGTTAGTGAAAGCGATATTTTAAGTTACTAAATCAAACAAAGTGATTATTCGGAAAAATTTTTTAACATTTTTCATAAAAATTTTTTTGAACATTTTTTTATTTAATTCTTTAGATTTAAAATTTGGTGGAAGGAGCCGCAATCTTTGAAATATAATCCCAAAACTTTGGCCAGCTCTGTGGTTCAAAGCTTGAATCTCTTGAAGTCAATTTTACTTTTTTGCATTCTTTAAGTTTGAATTCTTAAGATGAAAAAGTTTGAATCGTAAGGTATAAAATTTTTTATACTATGTTAAAAAATGCAGTTTAATAAGGCAAAGTACAGAACTTCAAAGATATCATTTGAATTGTTCCCGAGAAATCCACTTTTAAAAAAAACTCGTTCATTAAAAAGTCAATTTCTCATTAAATATTCAATCGATTACTGTCAAATGCTGCATGTTTCCTTATTAAATTACGTTCTTTAAAATTATATAGAAAATTTCGTTTTACTTTTGAATTCAAATTTTTCTCTCCACTTAAAATGTATTTCAATTCAAACTTTTTCGACTTTTAGTAAATTAAATAATAACAAATAATTAAAAAAAATATTCAAATGTTGGGTGGATTTATCTTTGAAGGAACAAATATTATAATTGTGTGTATAAATGTTTCGATTCGATTAAAAAAATTTCGTCATGGGGTGAAATACCCAAATAAACTTATATTCTAATTAACAATAAACTTTGGACCAATATGTTGGTGTAATTCAATTATCGTTTTTAAAGCACAGTACTGTAAATATAACATTTGAAGTAAAAAAAATATGGACAAAACAAAGGAAAAGCTAAAAAATATCGTATAAATAACTAACTAATAGGTAATAAATAATAAAACTGAAGTAATAAATCAAATTAATTAACAACATTCGCAGTTGAAAGATATTATTTTCGGCACGAATATGAAACTCTGTAATAAGCAAGAAAAAAATAAATATTGTCCATACACGGAGAAATAATTCTGGTTAAATCACAATAATCTATGGTAACGCAAAAAAACATAATTTAGGTTGAAAAAGTCAAAATATAGGGTATTCAGACCACTCATTTAGTAATTTAAAAATTCATCTGGCAACGGTTAATCGAAATTATAGCTCTTCCCACGCATTTAGTTAAAAAGTACAAAACTAAGAAATATATTTAACAGAATAAATGGTTGGAATGCATAGCTCTAAAATATCATGATAAAATTATATAATTTAGCCACATTTACCAAATTTTACATACTGAGAAACTGCACTTACTGCAAAACCAAATTTTATTGTAAATTTTGACTAAAATCTTCACGAACTCGCTTCAGTAAAAATCATCAATTTCTTCTTTTGATCATACTTTTTTTTCAGTTTGTAGTCTTAAAATTTTGACGGTTTGTAGTTTTGAACTCTTTGTGTCTAAAAGACACAAAGATTAAGGATAATTTTAACAAATATTAAGGATAATTTTATTAAAAGATTAAGAGTAATTTTATCCTAAGATTAAAGATAACTTAAACTCTCAGCCAGGCACAGACTGTAACTAGTTTGCTTTTACTCTATAAAATACGCTAGGGTGAAGGAAATTTAAACGAAACTCATTTCTCAATATGTAGTAACTCCTCTTTTATTGGAATATTATATATAATAAAATACAAAAAAAATATTTACCTTGTCATAAAATAAAATTCTTTAACTCTATTCACGTCATAAAACCAAAATGAAATAAAAAACAACTTAAAATATACATTTATAAATAAATATTTCACTTTATCTTACCGAATGAACATTTCACTCCGTAAATGAGGATTGGTGCAATTATACTCGCCGACATAATAATGTGGATTTCCTACAGAAGAGCAGTTGAAATTAGGTTTACAAAGTTCCAGAAAGTTTGGGCGAAGCCTTCCTACGAGAGATTTTATAAAATCAGTCGGCAACTCTGTGATGATTAGGCCGTAGAGGAATATACCACCAAAGATGTAGATTTGCTGAATCACGAAAGGAACTTCAAATCGAAAGAAAAATATCTTCTTTACTTCATGTTCATTAACTGTAAATTTTCTAACTAATTCTGTTATGCAGATCTACAACGTAAATGTATATTTAGAAGAAAAAAAAACTAAAATAATTTATTTTATGTGTAAAGAAAAAAGTAACAGTTTCACAACATGAAATATTGAAAAAAAACTCTTAATAAAACTATGAACTAAATCTATTAATAATTAATTTACTTATATATTCATGACGTATATTCATTCCATAACAATTATGTTAATGAAATATTTTCAATTTTACATTCATTTTACACTCATTCCATTTTCAGTTTTTACAAGCATCATACAGATAAAAACCTTGTTGATCCAAAAATAATTTCACAAAAAAAATAACTTTTAATAACTACATATACACCGAAGAGTCATTACATTATGACCACCACACGTAGGACCACCTTTAGCCCTCAAAACTGCTAGCACCCGCCGTGGCATTGATTCCACAAGGTGCTGATAGGTAGTCTGAGGAAACTGGTACCAAGCGCTCACCAACTGGTCCTGCAATTCCCTCACATTGCGAGGAAGTAGCGTGGTAGCACGAATTTGGTTTTCCAAGTAGGACCACAAATGCTCCATTGGATTAAGGTCAGGTGAATTTGGGGGCCAGAACGTGACTTGAAAGTCACTGGAATGTTCCCCGACAATTCTACCCTTATGACATGATGCATTATCCTGTAGGTAAACACCATCTCCCGCAGGGAAAACTGTTGCCATGAATGGGTGAACCTGGTCTGCAACTATGTTCAAGTAGCTTATAGACGTCAGGGATTGTTCTATGAGAATTATGGGTCCTAATGTGCCCCATGAAAACATTGTTCCTGGGCGAGAAACCACGAAAACCTGGGCGAGCCAATTGTAATAGATGGAGGGTGGTCATAATGTATTGGCTCTTCGGTGTATGTTGTAAAGCTAAAGAACCAAACATATTTTTGTATTAAACTTAAAGGAAAAGAGAACTTTAGCTGAGCTAGATCTCTAACTTAACTGCTTCAATTAAAGCTGACTCAAGTTACAAGAATGAACTGTAAAATAGCAGTGTTGCTTCGGTTCGGTAGGTTAAGCCCTCAAAGTAAACAATAAAAGAATCTATCTGCTACGTTGTATCATTCACTCCAGTTATATCTGGTCAAAGCCGATTTATGAAATGAGAAAATTTCCTAAAAGTATCACGTTTAAAACATATTAGTGTTTTCTAGTTTCGCTTCAAAAATCATAGAAAAATAAAAACTTAAACTACTACTTTTTTTCATAAACTATAGATTTTCTTACTAATAAATTATGCATCTCTGCTCCACCTTACCAGACATCAAGATATATTTAACCAGCAATTCAAATCATTCAATCACCACGTCATGGAGCCTTCCTGACACTTACAGTCGCAGGAGTCACAACCTGAGCTGGTGCAGTCACCATCCACTTTAGTCAGTAAAACAACGAGCTTTTTAGTTTTCATTTATCAAGAACTTTTCAATCCAATTTAATTTAAATTTCGTATTTCAGCATTTAAAACAACGTATTTTTAGTAAGCATAAAATTTCATTTGCCTTACAACAGTAAGCTTGTCATATTATTACTAATTAAAGTAATGATTCAAAAAAAAAAGTTAATAAATTTTTCCTTCCATAAGTTATCAGTGAGTATATAAGTTTTTAAATATTTGTAAAAATAGTTTCGTAAAGACCTGACGAAAAGATAAAACGAATAAAATTGAGTTACATTTTTATCCGCAATTCATATTTGGCCATATACCAAATATTCTCCGATTTAGTTTCCTTCTATCAGATTTTCTAGATCAAATATCCAGATAAGTTTTTAAAAAAATTATATTTTTTAAGAGGAAATATTTTTTTAAAAGGAAATTTTTTTTAAGAGAAAGTATTTCGTTAAAAGAAAGTTTTTTTAAGAAAAAGCATTTTTTTCAGCTTTTGCAACTTAACCATTAAGTTTCATAATCGAGCTCTTGTTAAAATAAAATTTTTACAAAACTCTTTTCCTGAAAACTGATCGAAAATAAGATTTTTCACAGCTTAATATATTGACCTTAATTAAGATTTCAATTTTTTTTCCTGCAGAAAGAATCGCAGAAGTGCCGCAACACGACGTGGCATAGATTCGATCAATGTGTGAAGTAGAGCTGGAGATAATTGACACCATGAATTCTGCAAGGCTATCCATAAACCAGTGGGAGTAAGAGCAACACCTCCTAGAAGTAGAAAGGCCTCAGCACGGATCAGATTAGTAGTCCGATATGTGACGATGTTAATTGTGCAGTAGACGAAAAATAGGAAAGATGTCATTACGTTAGAGGTACTAAGCTGCGCAGTGGTTGAAAATACAAAATATGTCATTACGTTTGGACTACTAAGGGATATTTATGGTAACCCGTGCAGAGGCCTGCTCTTTATAGGAGGTGTTGGTAAGAGGGGGTGGGGATATCTTCTGAACATCACGTTTCAAGGCATCCCGAATATGTTCAATAATGTTCATGTCTGGGGATTTTGGTGGCCAGCGGCACTCTTCTGAATTTAGACACTTCCCCGGACATGAACATTATTGAACATATTTGGTAGGATTCATGGTGTCAATTATTTCCAGCTCTACATTGATCACACATTGATCGAATCCATGCCACGTCGTGTTGCGGCACTTCTGCGGGCTCGCGGGGGCCTTACACGATATTAGGCAGGTATACCAGTTTTTTCGGCTCATCAGTATATATATATATCCTTTAATACAG